TTTTTTTTCGAGTTTGCTCTTGGTTTATCATTCAAAGTATTGTAATCTATTTTCCATTTTGAAATATTTATGTAGTGAAATTGGAATCTTTGCAGATTGCTGCATATGGAAAGGGTTTTGTGCAGGCATCTCAAGACACATGGGAGATGTTTAAGAAAAGGGATATGGTTGAGGTGGTCGACTCTGATATAACGAGCGCCATTTGTTTTCTGACCGGAATTTGCAGTGGCTCCATCTGTACAATCGTGGTGGTTGCTTGGACAGCCTCCGTCCACCGTGGCTACATTGCAACCCTCTCGCTGCTTGCTGCCTACATCGGTTACCTTATGGTTAGTGCCGGCCTCACTTCGCCTAAACCTTTTCTTCGAATTATTTGTTGCATAATTCAAAACGTACCTTATAGTCAGATAACATTCAAATACGCAAAACTACAAATTGATAATGCATTGTAGTGCATGTGAACAAGTTGAACATTTGTTTATACTTGTCTGCTAATCTGTCTCTAATTCTATTAACCAACATTGATTTGATGCAATTGTGGCAGACTAGGATTGCAATGGCATTGCCCCATGCCTGTGTGAGCTGTTACTATGTCTGTTACGCTGAGAATCCCGAAAACAGGCTATTTGATGACACGATACCAAATCGTATCGAGCTGATAAAGTTGGGTCGGGATGTGGTCGTACCTACGCCTCGGGTCCCACGTCGCTTTCAAAGATAGCCTTTTATGTATCAACAGCTCATGTACATACACCTAGTCACAGCAATAATGATTTGTATATATGTATGTCTTTATTTGTAATGCTAGGATAAGTATTCTGCATTGATGATGTAGCTGTGGTTTAGGGTTCGACACGTGCCAGTGTTTGAGTGGCTCGAAAGGGAGCTCTCAAAGCCAATAATGATTTAAGATTTGATTTCCCCCCACAAGTTCTTTTGAATTTATGGATGGTTAGATTCTTATCAACAAGGCTAGTAGCTACAGAGAGTATAAAGTGTGCCCTTTTGTGCTGTCTTTTATGGGAATTATTTTTTGGACATTGGTTTTTGGATAGATGAGATTCTGGGTTTGTCAACGTTATAATTTATTTGGTGTGCACGTCTTGGTTTAGATGGTAAACAACATTATAGTTTATTTGGTGTGCACGTCTTGGTTTAGATAGCCCAGAGGCCCCAGACTACACATGCTTTGTGATCCTTCCCGCTTAATAAACTCAATTTCTGAACAATTTTCCTACTTGCTCGTTGATATATACTGTAGTCTGCATAGTAATTTTTGAATTGATAATGGGTATAGTTTATAGAGCAATGCTACAAGTACATAATGGTGTACATAATACTCACATTGTGTGGGACTCACAAAAAACAAAAAATCAAGTGGACCCCATTCCATGTGAGAGTTATGTACACTTCTATGTACACTTATTATGTACATGTAGTATTTTCCTAGTTTATATGTTTACCACTATATACTACTATCAATAAATGGTTTGACTTACTATTAGTGGAAATTTATCAA